AAGACAGCCAAAAACACAAAAAAGGAAGGGATGCGAGGCAACGTTTATTTCATCGTCTAAATGGAGTGCAACTGGGCGAATCTGAAGCGGGCGAATCGCACTGGGCTTCATGCCATTTGTTAAGTGCAAGTTCAATAGCATTAAGAGTGCAACACAAATAACCATAAATTCGGAAAAGCTGCAAATTTTGCATATTTTTGCAAGTCGCCCTCGTCGAGAGTTTTTTGGGGAAACGGGAGTGGAACTCCTGATTGGTAAGCCAAAAAATATAAAAATTGCGCTTTCCCAACGCAGGGCAGCTGGAGTGGCATTTGTTTGCCAATGCCATTTTCAAATAGATTACGTATGCGCCCGGTGGTACTGCGTTCAATGCTCTTTTTCGTGTGATTTATTGGGGCGCCTCGATGTCCACACGACCAGACCAGTCGGCCAGTCAAGGAATTCCTAGCCGACTTCCTTAAGTTATTTCAATATTTACACTCGTGTAACATATGGCCAGATGGATGGGGGCGGTACGATAAATTGCCAGGCCAACCGCAATGATTTACTGCCCCAGTCCGTCCAAATACATATATAAATATATATAGGGAATAGCTGTACCATGTATACCATGTATACCCCTCCCATGCGTGAATGTAAACGCACCTTTGTGTGCGCCAAATGGTCCTATGTTTCTATTTTCTACTCAAAACCGCATTTATATTTATTACTTTGGCATAAATCTTGTCGCATTTTCACATTTGTGTCGAATTTGTCGAGTTCGCATGTGTTTATGTATTCACATAAGACCGGACCATCGCCAAGGATATTTCCCACCCCCCGAAAGCTATTGGCACGTCCACAGTTTTTGCCATTATTGCTGCTGTAGGTGTAGGTAAACAATAAACTGACCCCCAAGTTCGGGTCAACAGGCAACAGCAGCAGCAGCAGCAGCAGCAGCAGCAGCAGCAGCAGCAGCAGCAGCAGCAGCAGCAGCAGCAGCAGCAGCAGCAGCAGCAGCAGTCTGCACCTGATGTGAGTTTCCTTCACGGGGAAAGTGCGAAATATATGGCGTGTGTTTCTTTCGTTATTGTACACGAAATGAAGTGTACATAATTTGGCAGCGCACATTGAGTTGCATAAATTTAGTACGGTGTCCCAATAAAACCATTGTAGTTGTCAAATACAAAGAGGGAGTGTGGAATTTTTACGCAGTCGTTGGAGGGAAAAGGTCAATTGGAATTTTGGCGAATGAACAAGGAGCACTAAATATGGCTGTCAACGTTTTTTCTGGTAATTGTTTTCTTTATGGCTGCAATAACCGTATAGTATTAAATTCCTTTCTAGCTAAAATAGTATATTTCTGTAGGAGATTTAATAGCAAACACACATTCAGATAGGTGTCTGAATTAAAGGCATACGTCGTGAACCTAAACTACTACGCTTTGTTGATCATAACTCTGGTATTTAATATGTTATGCTCCAAGAGACAACTAAAACAAACAGTTCATAATCATTTTGCTAACTCACCTGATAAATTATAAACTTCCTCTTTAACACTTTGCCATCGTTATGGCACTTTATTAAACTTTTTTTAATTATCTAATAATGCAAATAGAAAACAATTTAAATTTAATTGCTTGACATGTGCAGTGTGAAATTTTTGGGCATAATTTTGCATGTCGACCAAATCAACTGCCAGTCAAATTGTCAAAGTATTTGTACAAAAAGTGTTGGTCAAATGTCAAAGCCAGGAAAATGAAAACTATTCCACTTCTGACCATGACACGACTGTCAAATATGTAAATTTGCCTTGCACCCTAGAACGCTGGTTGGTATTTAGAGCTCCTAGTTTTCAGAGAGCGTGGAAAATGGGAAATTGTTGGCCAATTATTCGAAATTGGTTATGGCTGCCCTTGCCTTTGCAGTTTCTGCAAATAATATTGCATGTTAGGCAAACAATTGCAAATATTAGCACTATTAACTGCTCGCCTGGAAGTTTGCTTCAAAGTGGAACTTTGAAATCAATTAGGACTGCGTCAGAGGAACTCAGAAAATCATTGGGAAAACTTGGAACCAAGTGAAAATTGTGTCAACCGAAATCAAGGGAAATCGCTCAACCTCCAAGGATGCGGTATTATCGTAACAGGAAGGACACTTCGAGGAGTATAGTGGCAGTGGGCCTCTTTCGGTTCGTTGGCTCTGCTCAAAAATAACAAACTTATTGTTTAGATTTTGCCAATGACAGCTTCCCATGGCCTCTTGTGTGCATCGAAGTAAAAGTAAAGCATAACACACAGGCGGGTACCATCCAGAAAATAGAAGCTTTAGCTGCAGCAAAAATGGCAACTGGCAGCATCGGGTGCCCCTGCCCCTAGATCCGGATATGGATCCCTTTTCACTCCTCCTTCTACTCGGAATCTCTGCATAAATGTGGCTAAAATGTAATGCAAACAATTGAAAAACTGTCAATGTGGGTGGCTGACGAAAGAAGACTCAGCTGCTTAAGCGGCAAGAGCAGCAAAAAATAAGTGGGGGCAATCGAAAGGCAAAATGTGGCATATTCAGATACTTTCGGGGACTGAGCCAATATTGTAGCCAATATTGAACTGCAGTTATTCCAATTCTTTACGATTTGGCCAAACATTTTTGATGTTAAACACTTTAAGCACTACAAATCTGCTGGCTCAACTCGTAACAAGAATATACTTTCTAGTATTATTAAAAAGTGAGGGACATTTTTTAAGACTTATGTATTTGCTTAAGTTCTTTTCGTTTTTTCACAATAAGTTAATAAGTTTTATCGTATTCTGAAATACAAAAAATATTTTTATTAGTCCACCAAATATTTTAGTTGTCTGACTTAAAATTTATGCCTATATCGTAATTATTGGCGGACCGAAACGTTCACGCCAATCAGCCCATGAAATATGTGCCCAAAACGGAATTATTGGCGGACCTCAACATCCAACCAAATACCTCCATCAAGAGTAGGTAGAAATGAGGTTGGGACGTATAAGTTGTCCCTGCGGGTCTTTGGATTGAGCTTAATATTGAATTTGCTGATAAGCTCACAATTAAAGCCTTAACTTGGGTGGTTGCAAAGCGCATACCTATTGAACACTCAAATAATAAGTATCAAGCTAAAACAAATTGGATTTCAACTGACCTAAGCGAGCACGTGGACCATCTCCGAATCTTATGTAGACACCACGTTCGCGCAAGTTTTTTGAGACATCAGGATCCATAAAGCGTTCAGGGTTGAAAGTCTGTGGGCTTGGAAAGTATTCCTCGTCCTTCATGTAGCAGAAGTGAGGTATTAATACGACGGTTCCCTGTTCCACGGTGAAATTAGGACCATCTTTGTTGGGAAGTTCCATGGATTCGGTGCAAAGTTTGGAGGTCAAAAAATCGGGTGCGAATAATCGTATAGTTTCTGTAAGGTCGATTTAAGGTTGGGTTAGGTAAGTACTTAACGTCATATTTTATCATTTTTAAATGTGTTTCAAGATGTCATATTCTTTTAAATACAAAATATTCTTTCTGATAGATTTCAGTGAAATTTCCCACCATGCATGCAGGCATCCAGATAGGGCAAGTCGTCTAGCTCATCATAAGGTATGATGCCATCTTGAAGATGTGCCTGGATTTCCTCGCGTAGCCGCTGCTGCACCTCTTCATCGCGGCCAAAAAGTGGCAAGCGTTTCGAAGCCAACCAGAAGGAAGACCGAGACGAAGCCCAGCAGAAGTGGTGTGAGGTGTGTCTAGGTTCCTCTTCTCTCCGATCTGCATCAGGTAGTCCAGAAAGTCGGTTCGCTGAAACTGGCCAGTTGCCAGTTGGGATTTTCGAGACTGAACTGCCTTGTCCATTAGCTCGACTAAGAATCGCTCCACATGAAGCGGTATAAAGCGCAGTTTGATCAAATTACTAAGTGAGGGAAAGGTACCGACCAGGGTTTTTAGGATCGAGAAAGTCCAGTATCGGTTGTAAGGCTCCTTCATGTTGGCAAAAATGGGAGTCGGGTTGCCTGTAAAACTTTCGGCACTCAAACCGAGCACACAGTCTGTAACCACTTCGGAGGTGAAACAGAGGCTCAACTGTTGGGTAAATATATGACATATGTAATATCAATTTACTTTCTAAAGTAAATGTACTTACATCCTTGGCATTGATACCATCGGCTGCACCCAAGCGAATTTGCCTTTTCACCCACTCGCTCGTTAGCTGGCACACCTTGTTCGTCACTTGATAGACAGATTTTATCTGTTCGTTTATAATAGGGTGTAATTAACTGCAGAAATCGATTTATTACTCCACTTACCCGGCCATTTGTCAGACCGAGAATGATATCGGCCCGCCGTTCCTTCCACCTTTCGCCGGAAATGCAGAACGGGTTAACGGACATAAGATAGTTGCTTTTTTCATCAGCATATTTACAATATTCATTGCTATGAAAGTTTTTAAGTTCGAAACGAAAACTCGATACGCCAGCTCTGGACTTATAAGTCATAAGTTCTGGAAACCGTCCATTAAAGATGACCACAGCATCGTACCGGTTTTTGTACTCTCTAAAGGACACAAATTGCTCAGATCAGACATTATAGCAGAGTCGATATTCGTACTCATAGATGTCGTTCAAGTCGTGGATCATGTTCCGCTTCATCTTCAACAGGTTAAGATAGTTGCCGGTGAAAAGTTTGGGCTTGGGTCCTGGCACTTTTCGTTTTCGCCAGTGGTTGAAGTTCCAGGTCATGATCACATAGAGCAGACCGGCCAAAGTGAGGCCCAAAGCTAACGTAACCAGAATCATTGTACTTCACTTAAAAGCGATATGCGTACTCTGCGAATTTCAGAATGGTTCTGTTTAAAATTTCAGCTTAACCGCTCTATTTGTACCTGTTCGCGGCTTGACGATTAGGTGAAAAATAAACAGATAAACAATTTCCTTTTGGCGCCAAAAGCCACAGTAAATCTTCGCTTACAAAAAGTGATAAACTTCATAAATATATAGCCGGTTTATTTATCCTATAAATTGATACAAAAATAATATTTAAATGTAACAAGAAAGAAAGCAAACTTCGATAAAAATATATATACTGTATGGAGTTGCAAACTTTTAACTGGACAATAATACCCATTCCAAGGGTATATTTTATACAAAGAATACCGTACTTATTAAATCATGTCATACTCATTTACTAATGAAGTGTTTAAAAGCATTCGCTATCAGGCCATGATAAAAGCCTTTAGCGTAATTATTGACGGTCCTCCATGTCCAACCAAATTCCCCCATTTAGATTAGGCAGAAACATGGTTGGGTTGTACAAGTTGTCCTTGCGGGTCTTTGGATTGACCTTAATATTGAACTTGCTGATCAGCTCCACGATTGAAGCCTTAACTTGGGTTGTTGCAAAGCGCATACCTAATGAGCGCTCAAATAATAAGTATCAAGCTAAAACAAATTGGATTTTAACTGACCTAAGCAAACACGTGGCCCATCTCCAAATCCCATGTAGACACCACGTTCGCGTAAGTTTTTTGAGACATGAGGATCCATAAAGCGTTCAGGGTTGAAAGTCTGCGGGCTTGGGAAATTTTCCTCGTCCATCATGTAGCACAAGTGAGGTATAACCACGACGGTCCCCTTTTCCACGGTGAAATTGGGACCATCTCCGTTCGGAAGTTCCACGGATTTGGTGCACAGTTTGAACGATATAAAGCCAGGTGGGAATAATCGGATTGATTCTGTAAGATTGGTTAAGGGTTGGGTAAGCTAAGTTTATCACCAAGATTCTTTTGGATAGCCTTAAGTAACATTTCCCACCATGCATGCAGGCATCCAGATAGGGCAAGTCGTCTAGCTCATCATAAGGTATGATGCCATCTTGAAGATGTGCCTGGATTTCCTCGCGTAGCCGCTGCTGCACCTCTTCATCGCGGCCCAAAAGCAACAACATGTGCGCTAGAACGCTGGCAACTGTTTCGAAGCCGTCCAAAAGGAAGATCATGGTGTGGCCCAACAGTTGTCGAGTGTCCAGGTTCCTCTTCTTTCCCAGCTGCATCAGATACTCCAAAAAGTCGGTGCGCTGAAACTGGGCAGTGGCCAGTTGAGATTTTCGAGTCTGGACTGCTGTCCCCATCAAGACGGTGAAGAAACGCTCCACGTGGAGCGCTATAAAGCGCAGTTTGATCAAAGCACTTAGGGAGGGAAAGGTGCTGACCAGGGCAAAGAGGATCGAGAAGGTCCAGTGGGGGTTGAAGAGGTCCTTGATGTTGGCTAAAATGGGAGTCGGTTTGTCTGTAAAACTGTCGGCACCCAAACCCAGCACACAATCTGTGACCATTTCGGTGGAGAAACAGAGACTCAACTAAAAATATAATAAATACTCAAATAAAATATAAGATTATATTCTGGAGATATATAAAAAGGTACTTACATCCTTGGCATTGATGCCATCGGCTGCACCCAAGCGAATTTGCCTTTTCACCCACTCGCTCATTTGCTGGCACACCTTGTTTGTCACTGGATAGACCGATTTTATCTGTTTTTTTTTTATAATGGGGTGATATTTACTGCAGATATCGATTTGCTACTCCACTTACCCGACCATTGGTCAGACCAGGAGATATATCAGCCCGTCGTTGTTTCCACTTTTCGCCGGGGATGAAGAATGGGTTATTGGACAGGATGAAGTTGGTTTTTTCGTCAGCAAACTTGGACAACTCATTGTCATGGAAGTTTTTGAAGTGCGAAACGAAAACACGATGCGCCAACTCTGGACTAATGACCAGAAGTTGGGGAATCCGCCCGCTAAAAATACCCACCGCATCATACTTGTTTTTGTACTTCCTAAAAAGACACAAATTCTCAAAATAAGATAGTGGTCTTCAAAAAATTATAGTTTTACTCACTCATAGATGTCGTTCAAGTCGTAGATCATGTTCCGCTTCATCTTAAATAGGTTGGGATAGTTGCCGGTGAAAAGTTTGGGCTCAGGTCCTGGAACCTTACGTTTTCGCCAGTAGTTGAAGTTCCAGGTCATGGTCACATAGAGCAGACCGGCCAAAGTAAGGCCCAAAGCTAATGTAACCAAAATCATTATCATTTACGAGGAAGCGTCCTCTGCGAATTTCACAATGGTTCTGTTTGAAGCTTCGGCTAATCCGCTCTATTTGTACCTGTTCTCGCAATAAGTTGCCCGCGGTCAGGGAAAAAGCTCGGCGAAGAGATAAGAAGAAAAAAGTAAACAAACAATTATATTTGGCGCGATAAGCCACAGTCAAACTTCGCTCACAAGAATTGAGAAATTTGCATACATAAATATCCGTTTTTTTAATCTTATTATTTTGTGCAGAAATAATATATAATTTGAAATGCAGACCAGAAGGCATAGGTAGTATACAAAATATAACAATTCAATTCAAAATTTAAACATTAAAACTTGCGTACAGTTTGCGTATGTAGTGCATTATTTAATAACAACAAAAATAAACAATCATTTATGATATCAAAATTTAACAAACTCAATTGAAATTCAATCATTGATTTCACAAAAACAGCTTTAAGCTTAAGGCAGAAGAGAAAATATTGCGAGAATGACCAAACATAAATATAAATAGATCAAGAAAGTTTACCATTTCTAAAGCTTTATTCGTCGTTTGATTAAAATTTGTTTGTTTAAGAATAACTAAGCGGAGATAAAAGTATACGGTTAATTAAAAATAAATACGCTATATTTTGGGTAACATATTGTGTTATCTATTTTCAGTTAATCATATGGGGCTTTTATTATCCATGCCATTTAGCTCATATAAAAAATCTAAACTAATTTGTACAGTTCTAAAGTCACTTATATGTCATTATTACTAAATAGCTTTTTATATTTTTTATAGATTACATTTGTTTGCTAATTTAATCCTTTAAAGGCCAAAAGGCAATATATTTTAACTTTATATATGCTACACCACCGCAATGGAAGATGAAACGTTAGAACTCACTTAACTTGTTGGACGCCCACAGCCACGCCCCACACCCCAGTTGCCGCCTACCTAACCAACCACACCCACAAGCCCATGAGTCACTCAAAGCCAACATCCACCCTCGCCAACTCTAATTTGATCAGACTCAATTCAAGAACCACCGGGGTAGTGACTAGTGACTAGTGACTCCTTGGCAGTGACATGACTGCTACCTTTTGGCATTCGAAAGCTGTTTGCCGGGGCGACAGCTGCTGTCGCATATTCCGTCACTTTGTTATTAACTGCGAACCGCGTTGCCCTTTTATTCCTTTTATTTCCAGCTCAAAGTAGGGACCAAGACGAATATAATTCCGTTTCAGTGGCGGGAAAACCTGTCACTGCTGCACGACAGATGACAGGATGGATTCCGCGTGTCTCGGTGGCTGCCACAAATAAACTAATCTAATGGCAATTTGCATTTGATTGCGAATTTGATTTGATTCGCTCGTTCCGCGTGCAAAGTTTCGGTGACAGTGCGAGAATTAAAAAACCATTGGCACTCCAACTTGCTGCGGTCCCAGCCACAGAAGCAGTATTTTTGTATATATATATATTTTTTTTTTTTTCGCTCCAGTTAGTGTCGCCACAACCGGAGGAGGACTTTAACTTGATATAGCACACTGGAAGTGGGAACTTTTCGGCCACAATCGTTCGGTTTTTGGTTCGGTTCTGGCCCAGCCAGATAACTAAATCGAGCTGCAGCCGCTCCACTCGCATAATGGCACACTTTCCGCTTCCGCATTGTCCGCTGCCAACTTTGTGCCCCCTTTTTTGGGGGTGGGGGGCTTCATCAATAGCTCAAACGGAATAATTTTAATTGCAAGAACCAGCCAGCCAACAATGGCAAACGAATTGCCAGCACTGCCCACAACTTCCGCCGGCACTTGGACGTGGCTTCAGTTGGCTTCAGTTGGTCAGCACTTCTCTGCGCTTCAACAATTTTAATTGTAACTTTTGCTGCCAACTGCAGCAAACAGCTAGTAAACAGCATCAACAGCTTCGCTCATTGCGGCTTCAGCTGGAGTTGTGTCTTAAAGCGCTCACAGTTAATATTTGCTTTTGAGCTTTGTTTGCCTGAACTCTAGTTCCCAAAGGTGACTAATGAGTTGAATTGTCTATTAAAACTTTGTGATTTTGTTCTACTAGCATATAGCAAAGGCAAGTAATTAAAGATGTTGTTGTAGAACTGAAAATACTATTTTATACTTTTCAGTTTTAATTCTACAGCGAAGAGTTCAAATCTGTAGGCTAAGGCTTTATTTTTAAACAATACACTTTCGTGGTAATAGTTTAATACTCATTTGAGGGAGACATTTTTTCTTACCCAATATTTAAAATGTACCCATATTTAATAGTTTAGTTTTTATGACATTTTTTTTGGGCTTGTAACAAGCTATTTTCTAGTTTTTAAATAATAAAGTCAACATTCTTTAAATAATTTTCATTTTTCAAAATAAGACGAACAATCTTAAACGAAATTTTTGTTGTATCAAAATAGTCTTAAAATTAAATTAGCATACTCCCTGTTGTAAAATAATAATCCTTATATACGGTGGTAAACTTGATAAAAAAGCGTGCATAAAATACTAATTCTGAAGGAATTTACATACCAGCATTATGTAAGTAATTAGTCAAACAAAAATGCGGAATTCATTTTTTTTCAGAAAACTACGAATATGTTTAAGAATGTTGTATTAAATAGTAATGAAATTACATTAGATAAGCTGCGAATCGAAACGTGAACATACTTTAAATGAGTCAAAACTGTTGTAAAATATAATAAATAAAATAAGTAAAGTCTTACTTTAGATCTTACCTTATACACAGAAAATAATGTTTTGTTGGGCATGTTTAAGACCATTTCTCTCAGGCAAAACTGTCTTTATTTTCTATTCTCATAGTTTCGTTCTGTTGCCCCTTTGTTTTGTGGCCTTAGCCTTAGCCTTAGCCTTAGCTTAGACCATTTTATGAGGTTGACCATCAACATAGACATTTATCGAATGACACATTTTTTCCTGCTGTTCTGGACTTGCTGGGGCTGCTGTTGCATGCGGATCGGCAAATTTGCGGCTTTGCTTTCTTGTGTCAATTATTTAGCTGCTTTTTCCGCTGGCCCCTACTGATTTTAATTGAACCTCATATACAAAGCAGGGCCAACTGCAGCTCCAGCTCCAGCTCCCAAGTTGGCTTGTTGCCGCTGCTGCTGCCACTGAACCCGAAGCTGCGGTCCATCGGCGATGCCGATGTCGATGCCGTTGCTATCAGGCACTTTTATCGCCGGCCACATCTGCACCAAATAAAATAATTGAACGTTTTGCGATAAGCATCACCCAACTCGAGCTCCAGCTACAGCTACAGCTCCTCTAAAGAAGCGGTCCAAACGAGCCATTTTGGCCAAGTTGTGGCGGCTCCTGGCTGGATTCGTGTACAGCAAATGTCATGTTTACAGACCGCACTCAGCCGATTTGTGTCAAAGTTGAGTTTAGTATCTATAAAATTATATAATACACTTCCTGATTTCATTTTTTGCCGTTTTCTTGGCTTAATTCCTTCTTTTTCTTTTCGTTTGCAATGAAAATGTAGTTCAGTGTCCGCAGGTCTGGCCACTGTGTGTGTGCTCCCCCTTTGTTTTTTTTTTCTTTACAAGCCGAGTGGCATTGTTTGGACTTGGCCCTAAGCTGCGACTGGATTTGACTGCACCTCAGGCCTTAACCATTGTTGAACTTGTTAGGCAAGCTAACGCTGGCCCACGGTCTCCACAAGGTGGCTGGCCAAAAAGCTGAGTTCGGGGCTTAGAAATTCGCTGTAGCACTTGGCAATAAATGCCAGTTTGGTACTTTATTTGGCCACGATCAATAAAAACTAATTTTAGTAATTAGTAATTAAACAAAGGTAATTTGTTCTATACCTAAAAAATACATTAAATTAAATGCGAGTGCTTAAAAAAATATAATTCAAGATAATTAATTTGCTATGTGTTAAAATTCACAAATGGTTTACATTGGTATACAGAAAATAATGGGTTTTCAGTTGTAAAAAGTACGTTGTTTCTAAAATCAAAACATATAACTGTGCTTATTTATGTTGTATGCCTTAATTAAATTAAACGGTTACAATCATTAATTTCCGATCTTTATTTTACAAGAACTTTATTGAAAAACATCATTGCATTTCACTTTGAGTGCAATCATAAATAATTATATTCATTTATTTTTAAATGACAACTGCTCTGAATATTTGCTTCAGCCAGTATGGGCGGTTTCCTCTCAGCTTCTCAACGATGTGCCGATAAATGCTACTCAGTTAATAAATAACTGCCCGGGGTGGAGCACAATCTTCGGCAGGCAGTGTGCTTGAGTTGTCTTGGCCCTGTTGGCCCGGATTTTGATTAACTGTTGTCAAGGCACAGAGCCATGGCACGAGCTTCTCCGGTCCGATGGCTTCTCTCGATTGCCGCTGCTGCAAATTACTTATGCATTATTATAGCTTTGATTTTCGGCTTACGACGGTGGCTGGTCGGCCGATACACCAGAAACAGATATTGGTATATTTAATGGCCGGCAAGGCTGAAGCTGAAGCTGAAGCAGAACCTGAGCGCACGCTCGTTTATCTTGATGCGGACGCATCCTCTTCATCTGGAGGCTCCAGCACCGATTTTTCAAGAGCGGCGCGTTATGCTGTCTTCATTGTGGCATTATCTCAAGCTCGACTTCAGCCTTTGTTTCCTTTTTTTTTGCCCCCCTCTTTTCTGCTGTATTTTATACTCGTTTTTTTTGGGTGCATCCGTCAGCGGAGTTGCAACTGATAAGGAAACGCTGCGAAGCTGCTACCATTTTTGCATTGTACGCTAAAATATTTCTCATGTAAGGGCCCCCTGAACAGGAGGCTCTGATTTGGTCAGGCGATGGTCTTCGGATTCCGCTCCGCAGCATTAAGGCAGCAGCACCAAAGGGTAGATCTGCAGAGCTGATAACATTACGTATACGCCGGGCTGTCTTCCTGTATTTGTATTTACCTTTCAGCCGCTGCCACGGCCTGTGAATTATTTTTGACAACTCTCTGGTCATCGATTAAGCAGCTTAAGGCTTATCAGCCATGCGGCTGTCGG